AAACGAAAATGACGAAAATGATGATTTGCCAACAGAAGATAAAACTTCTCCCATAGAAGAGAATGAAGAAGCAACCAACTCCTGAAGTTTCCGAAAAGAACAAATCGCTGAATTAAAGAAAAACTTTCCAAAACAAAATATCGAACAAAACTAATTGGTTTAAAAAGTAAATTATTTAATCAAGAAAAGAGGACCTCGGACAATTATGTTTGAACTGGTATGTAACAGAATATATAAAAAGTTGTAAATTCTACCCAAAAATCAATGTAATGATTTTCTTTTAATGTAATATGTTCGCTAAACTTTTTTGTTGTAAATGTCTTTTACTTATTAATTAAAAAAAAAAGGAAATAAATATATAAATCAAATAAATCAAATGTATGTTGTAGAAATATTCTATTGAAAAAAAGTTGTTCCACGAAATTTACTTAGTCTCAATTTCTTAAGTGTATAACAAAATTCGGAATTTTCAAAATGTTAAGGCTCAGCCAATTTTCAGTTTAAGAAAAAACCAGCTGATAAGTTTTGAAGCTTGGGTCATGAAAAATAAAACTTATCAGTTAAATTTTTTAAAATGATACAATTATTTTTTGTTTTAGTATTTTGAAGTTGACCAATTGTTGCTATAAGCAATTAATGATTATAGATGGATCAGCACCATATGTTTCCCTAATCTAATGACTTTACCCAATTTTGAAATGTTTGGTTGCATGGGAAATAATTCGTTGTAAAGAAGACTCAGATTCAGTCATCAGGAAATTTTCCCCGCCGCAATATTATGTCCATAAATTTTAATATGTAAAGTTGCAATATTTATGTAATATTTACACTCAATGTAATAATTGTATAATTTTTGTATGCTTATTTGCATAATATTATGGGCCTGCTGTAAACTTACGTAAATAGTGTAATAATTATGTAAATCTGCATCAGAAAAAATTTCCTGATGGTTCAGTCAGTTCAGTACAAATCACCATGAAACAAATCTAAACGTCCTGTTTCTCAACTTTGGTAAACTGAATTTTTGGGGAAGGAAGAGATCAAAATCAAAGGGTAAAACTTTGTGATGAGTCTTTTTTTTTTCTTTGCTGCACTGGCTTG